AGTTTTGCTTTTTATCGACTAATTTATTATTCTGTTTCGATTAGATTCTTTTTGATTAGTAAATGGTCTTAAAAATAAGTTTCTTTCAAAGAGGATCCGTTAACTAAATAAAAAGATAGTTTCTAATTGAATATTGCTAAAAAGAGGATTGTGTTATACAGATCTTTTCGTATCCATGTATAATTTTACAATGAATAGTCATTCGTGAATTATGTAAAAAAATGAGGAACTACTAGCATTTATTAAAATTACTAGATAACTATATAGAATATCTTCGATCAGGATTCAAGTATTTCCTATCCGGATTCGCTGTACCACTAGACCCAAATGTCTTGTTGATGATCCTAGGTAGAACTCGACAAAGTCTACAAGACGCACTTATTTCATTTTTAGTTTCGTCAAGTTAATTAGGAATAAATTATAAAATACTATGAATCCTGACCTAAACAGTATTTTTTTTTATTAGTATTTTTCTGTCGCAACACTTTCATTCACCGGCCCAGGTCTCTACTTGATGGATACAAGAAGAACTTGACGAGCTTTCCTAGAAGAATTACCTATTGTTGCATTTAAAATATTTTGTTCAGAGCTAAACATGAAGTATTCTGTGTTGATGCTGATGACATTAATATAGCGTTGACAACAAAATGATAATATAGTGTTAAATTTAGGATTGTTTTCAGTAGGATCTGTATTCATGGAGATGAATTTGATAGTTTTTTTTATCTTTGTTTTTATTTTGATAACATCACTTGTTTGTGAATGCCAACATTTTATTATTTGCAAATTTATATATTCATTTTTTGTTTTTCAGATTGTATGCAAACAGTTCGAAAAACATGTTTGGAAAAGTACGTTATAAAATAAACATGTTTTGTAGGAGAGTTTCAATTTTATCAATCGCTTTCTTTGATTTGATTTTCACTCATCTAGTAATATAAATGACAATGATTGGTACAAAGAGAGGATGTAGATTTCAAAATATAACTGTCTATCAGTGTAAACTTGTGTGAGTATTAGACTGGTATGAGCGCATAAGTTGTCACTGTCGCCATGGATGTCGGTAGTGCGAAAGCTTTCACCCACATGTATACACTGTAAAAAATAGGCGTAGAATAATAAACCCTTCAAAAGGGTTTATTAGCCTTATAAACGCTTTCATATACCCTTTTAGTGTCATAAACCCTTTCATATACCCTTTTCCTTCATAAACCCTAGGAAGGGTATATTATTCGTTGCACTTTTATAAACCCTTTAGGGTATATGAGCTGTAATATACCCTTAAAGGGTTTATTAACTTCATAAACCCTTCGGAAGAGCGTTTATTAATATACCATTTAGAAGAACTCGTAGAATAAAAAACCCTTTTCCGAAGGGTTTATGAAGTTAATAAACTCTTTAAGGGTATATTACAGCTCATATACCCTAAAGGGTTAATAAAAGTGCAACGAATAATATACCCTTCCTAGGGTTTATGACACTAATAGGGTACATGAAAGCGTTTATAAGGCTAATAAACCCTTTTGAAGGGTTTATTATTCTACGCCTATTTTTTACAGTGTACTCCCACTCAGAATCGTCAGACATATTACTCTCAATCGAATACACTATGTCATCACATTGAACAATTCGGTATTTAGAATAAACGTAGACACAGTTCAGCACTGCGTCTTTGTCTGGTAGATAATCAATCTGAATATCATCTTGAGTTTTAATTTTGATCTTGTCTTAATGTAAAGATTATCAAAACACAAATGAAGAAAATGGTGCAAAAAAACCTTCTTTTTGGGGAATTTCAATTTTTACTGCTTAAAGTATTTTAGATATATTTTCATAAAAATTAAAGCTCTTCAAAAAGAACTCTTTTGTCGAAATTTTTAGAATGAAAATCTCTACAAACCTTAAAAATTTCATCGAAATCGAAGATCAATTTTGTACACGTGGTTGAGATCCCGTGGAAATACCCATATAAGCTGCTCACCAGTATTTAAAATTGATATGATATATAGATATATTACTTGATAATCGAAGCACTTATAGCTGTACGTTAGATTGCCCTCATATAAGATGCATAATGATAGATGACGCTAATCATTGCCCATCTCAGAATTAAGTGGATGAACAGGGATGCGTGAATACAAATACAATTTGTATGGTACAAAGATGATGACCCCCCGAAAACATAAAATTTAAGAATGTGTACTCTCATGTATCGTCATGTACCGAGAAAAAAACCTAGAATTTCTAGAATTCGTTCTCTCATGTAGTGTCATGTGCACTGAAAAAAGTTTGCTGAACTCTCAGGATGACGTAAATCACTTTGAAACTTATTGAAAGCATCAATTAGAAAAACACTCCAAATTATGATGAAACACCGGAGTATACAAGGTTGTGCAAAAAGCTTCACGGTCTACTAAGCTCTACAGTTTCTACCGGAATGTATCAATCTATCGATATAGAGCAGGCGAAACCACTAAATTCCTGTCTCCGTCGATGTGAGTGCTGCGGAACGACTTTTATCCAGTTTCTCTCGATCTTCGTTGGGGAAAGGAGTTTGATTACTTCTCTCTCTGTAAGGAGCATGCAGGACGACTTCTATCATGTAACACACGATGTGGGTGCAGGGAACGTGCTTTCGTTATCTCTCTGTTGATGTAGGTGAGGACAAACGACTTTCAACATCTCGCTCTTACGATGTGAGTGCAGGGAAGCACTTTCATTATCTCTCTCTCTCTCGATATGAGCGAAGAGGAACGAATTTCGTCGCCTTCCTCTCAGTGTGGGTGCAGCGGATCTACTTTTGGTGTGCGGGCGTGGATATGGGTGTGGGTGTTATTCTTCTCCTTATGTACACTCACACGCACAATCACACCCACATCCACACTCACCCACACTCACCCACACCCGCACACCTCACACCCACACCTCTTATCACAAGACACAGGATGCTTTGTAAAGATTCGTAAGGTAAATCAAAAGCACTCCTACTTTAGCTTATTTATTCAATAAATTTTATCGAAGCCTAAAAAGATATAAAAAATACGTTTTCATTAGAGTCCGGCAACCCAACCTGCCCCGAGATCGGGTTCGGGTTTTATTTTTTTCACAACATATGTTCTCGCCGTCTATTTCTTTTGCATGCTGTATACACAGAACAATGAAATAGTAAGGTATTAGATTATGTATCAAACAATGAATAAATTCTTGTGAATTTTGTTTCTCGATAAACAATAAACTTATTTTCATATTTTTATTATCGTCGTTCGAAAATGAGGGTGTGAGTGTGGGATGTAGGTGTGCGTATGGGTGTCATAAAAAGACCGAGAACTACTATCACATCCACATCCAACCTTTTGTTATTTTCATGAACTTTGTATTGTTTTATGTGGTAAAGATTGAAATAAAGTAATCCATTTGTGGAAAAAAAAACGAACATTATTTCTCGGTCGAGTCGGGTTTCGGGTTCTGCCTCTCGGGTTGGGTATGAAAAGTCGTAGCCGTGCAGGAGTCTAGTTTGCATTAGAACTGATTGAACCGATTGATTTATTTTTGTTACCAATTTTCCTTGTTATAATTTTGTCATTATCTCGTGAAGCATTTAAGAGATGCCAACTAGTGGATCACAATGAGCGCTAGAATCTGTCGTTCAATAGCAATAATCTCATAATACTACTTCTTGTTTTCTTCTTTTTGATTGTGGGAGCAATTTTATCTCTGAAAATCTAATCAATATTGAAGAAATGTAGTTTATAAAAAAGAATAAAAATTCTCATTCTATTAAGAGTAAAAATATTTTAAATTAATCATCGATCATTAGGAAAGATACACACAGAATGTTTTACTGTTGTAGACTGTCTTTTTCTAACAGATATAATACACTGATATCCTAAATGACATCTTTTCAATTAGGCGAAACGTTTTTTTTCTTTTGATCACTACTTGATATTTCATATGCTGAGACATTTAACTATCAAAGTAAATGTTAGTGCAATCTCTATTCGTTATAGCATGAGAAACAACTTCTGTTAAAAGATAAAATTTGTTTATTTTGATTAATATTTCAAAAAATAGTGAAATTTCTAGATGGCATGTGGAAAAAAAAATCATTTTGAATTTATCCATTCTAATAATCTTATCATAATTCAAATTCTTTTTACTTTGATGACGAAAAATTGATACTAGTAATATTGGATAGAATATCTTTGTCATATTGATAATTGTATTCAATGTAGAAAAATAATTTTAAAGGTTATTTCTTTAATATCTTTTCAATAATTAGTAATGTCTATCATTTCATTGTTCTAATTCGATCTGATTTTACAGAATTCTGATTTTTGATGATGAAAAAAAACAAAACAACAATGATTAATCAAGTTTTTCAGTCGACGAAGCACAATTTTCTGTTAATAAAATTAATAATACATTGTCACACTTTTCAGAATAAAGTCATTGACTGATGTAACTGAAACATATACTAAATGAGAAGACTGAAACAGAAAGACTGTTAGTCACTAGAGATTTGCTAATATATATTTAATAAAATAACAAACGATGACAAGAAAAACTGAGAATGATGCTTAATAAACGAAGAACATAGGATGAAGAAATAAGTGAATGAGAATATCTGAGCGTAACAAATGATAGATAAACTACATAATGAATCGATGAACACACATCACCACGAAAGAGAGATTCTTGAGAATATCTCGTGCTATCAAAATTGCTTCTAGGTCTGGTCGTTCTATTATATAAGTAACAGATAGACATGAAAAGAGATAGTAGATCATGAAAAAAAGCTATCGAAACTTGAGAATTTCTTCAAACAAATTTTAGACATCTATTTTATTCAACTCTATTGTGAAATTGCATATGCATAGGGTGAAAATCTTCATGTAAGGAAGAATTAATAAGTAAAAGAAAAGTTTCTGAGTATTTTGGTTGAGCATGTATTGAAATGGCACATTTTTCATGAATGCATTTAATTTCATTTAAATCGAAGGTTAATTCACTTGTTTGCCAATAAATGGTGTTCGATCAACATAGCCTTGATGAGCATGAGCTTGTTTGCTTTCCTCTGTTGCTATTGCTTGTTTCCAAGAATCGAGACTTGACCATACGGCTATGTTAAAAAATGAAAATATCGCATTTTCGTCCAAGACTTTGTAAACCGTCGCACGTTTATATCCCATACCTTGAATAAATAAAATGCTTACTCAGCTATTCTTTCTCTCTCTCTCCAGTAGTCGGCAACACTTACATGATGACATGTATGGTGTTGCTTTAAACCAATCTTGTGGAAATTCATCCATTTTATGTTTTGGTAAACTAAATCCAATTATAAATACGGTATCATTGTTTGGATCACTAGACATATCTTTGACACATTCAATTGAAAATGAAAGTGGTGCAAAAAGAATATTTTCCATATGATCACCCTTCTTGATGCTCTCGATAATGGTGGTAGAATCGATTTTTCTCAACGTTTGTTCATCATCAACCAAACAAATACATGCATGCGTCCAACCTTGATCGTTACTTGTGGTAATGGACTCGTAAATATTAGTTTTACCCCAAGATGACAAAATGGATCGTACTGTTTCGTTGATATGAGTATCCATGGATTTGAACAATAAAAGTAGTAATGTACGAGATGTCGAAACAGACATTACTTTACAAGAATAATTAAAAATCAATATTGATTAGAGAATATATTGTGATCTTCGATTGACTTTTTCTCTTTGTATATCCAATGTTGACAAAATTCGATTTCTTTTACTTTGTCAGCAACACTCAGCAAAACATTCAAATGCATTTTATTCTTCTCCATTTCTATTGGTGCAAAATACTTTATCAATCGTAATGAAACGCTAATGTTGTCACTACTATATAGTAGGCACTAAATAGTCTGAATTTCTTTCAAAACTAGACCAATGTATCACTATCTCTTTGGCATAGTTGTATCAGAAAAGCAAGAACTATCTTATGATCTGTACGATGCATTAGGTTATAAATAATGATAATGATAACATTTTGTTTTGACCACGAACCGTTGTTTCCTATTGACTCGCACACACCAAAAATAAAAAAAACCCAATCAAAAAAAATCTCAGCAAGTGTATTGAAACAACGATCTGCAGTCCTACTAGACATTTCACAAATTCAAACTATTTGGGTTTTCTGAGCTCAGATCTTTCTCTATTCCTATATAAAATTGCAGCGAACAAAACTGAGGATGTGAATATGTATGAGTTTAATGTTGTTTATCGGTAATCTCTTCAGTTGTACCCAGCAGTGACACCAAAACTTGCATCCACACTCTTATTATCAAAATGTTTTGTAAAGAAAATCATATTTATTCGAAAAAATAAAACTTCGACGCATCTTTCTATGACAAAAAAATTCGATTTCAATTTTTTTTCATTGAAAAAGTCAAACTTTCTAAGACAAAGTGTACATGTAGATGTGGGTGTATGTAGTGCAAGCGATGATATGAATGTGTGAGAAGAGAACATCAACATCCACACCTATACCATACTAAGAGCAGACAAGTGTTCGGTTTCCACTCAAGTAGTCTTCTAATCTGTAGTCGAACAGTTTGAAATCATGACGATAGATTTTTTTCAAACGACAGACAAGTCGATCAGGCAGGTCACTATACATCGATTGGTATTGCAATCTTGTTCGGCCAGTCGAAAAACGACGATTTAAACCCCAATCGATTGATGTTAGATTGATACGTGGCATAAAAGTGTCGAGATCAGCTTGCATTGTTTCGTATTTGCCGATAAAATTATATTTGAGTGCACATGCCTGACATAAGGACGAATAGGGTTGCCAATGAACATCCATCAAGTTTGAACCGGATGCGATGTGCTCGAGAAAATGCTGAAAGGATGGCACAATTTTTCCACATGGTTCATTGTTCATCTTTGATATTGTTCTCTTCCGACGATAAAAAGCTATTTCGTTGGGTTTCAAATAGAATGGAGCAAATTTTCGACAAATTATCCGACGAATGCCATCATAGAGTGAGAAAGCTGGAGCTTGAAGGGACATAATTTTGTCAGTGTAAGCGGCTGCAAGGCGCTCCAGTGGATGGCGAACAAAGATAACACGAGTGAAATTATCTGACATGAGAAGAGAGCTATTTGGAAGAGAGCGGAGACGAACTAGAGGAAACACTTTGTCTTGATATATTCTCCACAGATCCAATGGCAAAGTATCAGATGTGTTCCTCAAACACGTTTGAAATGAGGAAAGAATCGAAAGACGATCACCGATAGATAATTGAGAATTATTCTAAAAAGTATAACATTCAATGTTGAACCAAAATAAACAATTACATATTGTCTGTTGAACGAAAGTTATCTACGCTTGCCCTTCTCTCTCAATATTCGAACCCTACTTTCATATCTCTCACTGTCATAACATGTTTCTAAGTAATCATTTGTTAAATAATTTCTTTAACCGAACGTATCTTATTGTTAAATCCATATTTTAACTGACACGTCTCCTTCTCTTTGTCTTGCACCAGAAGAAGGAATATGTAAAACTAACCTATTTCACTCATAAATAACTTGTCAGTACAGTTTCATAAGGAGGCAAAGTATGGAATTCGCAAGCTCTGGCTATTATAAGTTTATGGGTGACACGACATTTGAGCCTCTTCACATGTTAAGTCAAACAAGTAACAAAATGAAGAATTTATTACAACTAGGGTGTGGGATGTAGGTGGTTATGGGTGTGAGGTGGGTCTGGATGTAGATGTATGAAGTGTTGGTGTAGTTGTGCCGTATGAGTGGGAGAAAGAAAGAATAACATCCACACCCCCATCCACCCACCAAAATCCAATCCCACACCCATCTATCCACCTCCTCCACTCTCACCCCCATCCCCACAATCATTTCAATAGTAGTTTTTCCGAAGGTTTCAAAAAAGCTCACATGGAAGGTTTAGTCAATTGGCAAAACCTGTCTGTGGAAGATCCAAAAGTCAAGAGGCTCAACTGTCTATGTAACAAGTTTATGGTATATTGTCCGTGGTTTTAAAAGAATTCTTTCAAAAAAGATCAAATGAATAAATAAAAACAACAACAATTATTATAGCTGATACACATGCTCTGAAATTTAATCGTTTCAAAAATGTTTGCATTTAGAATCACTATTCTACCAACTTATTTAATTCACTTAGCATCGCTGTACTGCACTATCTTATTTGTATTGTCAGATACATCCTCAATACATAACTTGTTTTTTTTTTCGAATGAATGAGTTTCACAAAATTACAATGAAATGACTCCTATGTAAATGTCCAATATAGTAGAAATGGAATATTTTTGATCGAATATTTTATTTTTTCAATAAGATAGAGTGTTTGGAGTGTTGCCAAAAATGACTTAGCCGAATGAATTTTAGGTGACTAAAAATTTTTGTTCTTGATTGGTTGTAAAATTATACAGAATTGAATATTTTCTGTAAACTAAGTGACTTCTCCTTTCAGATCAAGTTCCAATATTCGACTTTTTCTCGTGAATAAGCTCGATTGTATTCATTTTTCCATCTTGAATTTTGCTTGCCAGTATTTTCATTAAATAACTTCTTTCCGCTGTTTCCATACTTAATTATATTTTATTTATTTTTCTAACATTCGAACTCCTATAATTTGGATATTTTTGAGGCAGAACATGCAAATTTGAACATCCGCATTGTTCTCTTACTATTGTTTTTCAATACAGTATTCACAGAACAGATCCTTTTTTTAACATACATTAATAGTTTGATGGGACTATTATGCTACAAAATATGTTTACTTCTATGCACCCATACTTCTATGAGATAATATACACCTATGACCAATTTTCGTGCTATGTGATTATCCTATTGATTACCGAATAATAATAACTTTTACTGTCGGAGGATGATTTGTCACAAGAGATTGTAGTATCTACAAAATCTAACTTAAAAAGGACAAATGGATACCAATGATGATATAAGTGTAATAATAATTTCACTATTCCTAATAATCAACTTTTCAAAAAAATCTCGAAGGAGTTATTCTCTCGGCGCAAAGAACAGACTATAGAGCTTATACGCGCATCAGTCGTGTCACCTTTTTTTTTCATTCCTCTTGCTCATCATTTGTTTTATTGCTTTTTTATGTTTGTACAGTTTCAATTTGTAGTTACAAACACAACGAAATAGAGGAGACGACAAATATATATTACTTTCATCCTGGGGGCATAATAGCAAGAAAAAAAGAGAGATCATTTGATTTTGTCTTACCATAGTTGAAGATGACATCATTTGATGCAAATAGGTAGCATTGAATAGAGTTGAATCCTTCATTATTCGTCTATTTTTTTGTTCATCAGTTGAATTAGACACAAGCAAAGCAGTAAGATCATCACGTATATGAAGATAAGTAATGAAAGTGAGAAAAGATCGCGTCGCTACTTTTGGAACCGAGCAATAGAAGAGAGAATGGGAGCGAAGAACAAAACCCACATAATTGAGCACATCATTACGACGAATAAGATCTTGAAGATTTGAGCGATGGAAGCCTTCACTATTGCATTTGTTCGCAAGAAATTTAATACGTTGTTGATAAAGAAGTGGATAAGTGGACGTAGATAAATTCAATACTTGAGCGACGACAGGTACTGTCAAATTTGTTTGATGTACAGTTAAAATTTTAGTCAATAGATTGCCTAATCAATCGCATAAAACGAGAGAAGAGACTTGTCATCAAAATAATTCTTAATAGCTATATTAAAAAGTACCTGTTCTTAAACTGAGCATCACGAAGGCAACAGTGCCAACTAAATAACCGAACGTGATAGACAATTTCTTATGAGCAAACAGCCACAAAACGAAGAAGGCCAATATACTCATGTTGATATCTTCTTTTTCTCAAAGTTCCGTTAAAATAGTATGGAATATAATTGCTTTCTGTGCTATATATTTATTCATTCTCTTTTTCTTTCCTTCTCGCTCTGCAAACAAGCCTGTAGCATAAAGACGCGAAATATGAAGGTAACAAAAACACTTATTAATCCACTTGCATGAACAGAAAAAAAGAATTCATTGTCAGTTTTGACTATAAAAAAAAGCCCGAAAAAGATTGTCCTGTACGACCTGTGAAGGGAAAGAAAATAAAAAAGAAAAAGATCTTACTTTTTCAGTAAGCGTCATAAACAGGTTAAAACAATCATGGGCGTTGTTCGTTTACCATTCTGCATAAAAACTATTCAAACAAAACTAGACATAATGTCGATCAAATGGCTGCTTCATACAGCGAATTAATGAGACATGCATTTATCTTATTCGAAACATAGTAACAAATTATTAATGAATCTATAGGAAGAGAAGTCCCATAATCACAATATCATAGGTATTTTCTTCGACTGAGAGTGTAGGTGTCAATGTAA